ATTCATAATTATTAGGTATGCTTAGGAGTGTAAATGAGTTGAGTCGAGCCAAGCACGAGTTACAATTGAGCTTGATTTTGATTGACAAGCTCGAGCTTAATTCTACGAGTTTGAGTGCTTTCACGAACCAGCTCGTGAATTAAAAAGTGAGATACAAATTTTATATATTTTTAATATTTGTACTCGATCTATTGAATTCTAATATATTTTAAGTGCATTTTATATTAATTTTTTTAAGGAGATAGCTCGTGAGCTAATTAACGAGTCAAGTTGAGGCTAGCTCAAGCTTTACTTGTTAGCTCATCAAACTTATCTCACGTGTCATTTATTGACCTGAGCTCAAGGCAGATCATAAGTCGATTGACTCAGTTACACCCCTAGGATATACCACCATTTTCTTTTAACTTTAATAATATATCACCTTAGTTAACTAGTGTTAATCTAAGAGATTATTTCATTACTTTAAAAAAATTATTTAATAATTTAATGTGAAAATTCACCCCAGAGAAAATTGATGCTTGATTCAATGGCATATTCTAAATGTTTTTCTTAATGATGCAATCATTTTCTCAGCTATTGTTAATTGCTTCTAACTTCTTCAAATTCTCATTGACACTGATAACTTAATCACCAAACTATTCCTTGATTTGTTAATTAGTGTTAATCTTAAGAAAATAACATGCAGTTTTGTTAGCCTGCACTTGTATATTGGATGATCATTATTTAACTCCTTTAAAGTTATAGGTTTCGTTTGGGATAGCTTTCTTACTACTTTCTAAAACAAATTTTTAGTATAAATAATTATATTTCAAAAAATTTTGTACTAAAAAACTACTTTAGAAAGCAGTAAGAAAGCCGTCCCAAATGAAGCTGCAGTTTTCGACTTCGTTTGGGGCTGTTTTCTTATTGTTTTCTAATGCAACTTCTTAATATATAAACTTTTAGTTAAAAATAATTTTTATACTAAAAAACAATTTAAAGAAGCAGTAAGAAAATCATTCCCAAACTAAGCCTTCATTAGACATCTGAACATGAAGTTCCCTTCCTTTGTAACAATATAAGAAGAGGAAAGTTCAGCTTAGTTCTCTCTATGAAGGTACCTTCAGAATTAAACTTCCTTCATTATTATTCTGTAAAGATGGAAATTCAAGATGTTGGTTGCAGATCTCAACATTGTTAATGCAATCACCACATAAATCTATGTAGAGAAGTAGTAAAGTAGAAAAATAGAAGGTTCTTAGTAAATTTAAATTACAATATGAGAAGAAGCTGAAGAACTTCTATAGGTTGGATTGCTTGGAAGTTCACTATAATGGATAAGTTCCAAATGTTGTTAGGATAAAGAAAGATAGTAGCAAGTGGAGGATGTATGTAGACTTCGATAGAGTAGACGGTATTTTGCCAGAATATTTTAATCTATTGCGTAATATATTTATCATGGTTGACTCGGTTATAGGTTTCTTTATGTTAAGTTTTCTTAATGCATCATTAGGATGTCATTAGATCAAAATGAATTTTAAATATGAAGAAAAAGGCTAATTTTATCAAAGATGAATGAATATTTTGTTACTAAGTTATGACCGTGGACTTAAATATATGAGTGCAACTAATGTCGTGGGAAGCTTGAAGACGAAAGTGATGGCTAAAAATGATTATGGATGATTATTTTAGGTTATGAAGAAGTGATTTGGAGTTTACAGTGAAGTGGTAAGGGGTTTTGAAGGGTATGATGGAGGAAAATGACAGACTAGTTTAGTTTAAGTTGATTTTGCTTAACTCTTTATGAAGTGGATTTACATAAGGGTTTTGAAGGGTATGATGGTGGTCTCTTTAACTCTTTTGACTTTACTGATCATATTTATTTCATTATTGATTTTTGAAATTTTTATTGCTCATATTAAGTGATGATTGATATTAACTAGAACTAAACATATATTAATTTTGTTGCTATGTATTGAAAGTAGTGATTCCGAGCCGTTACAATATGTACATTAATATAATTAAAGAACCACCATGAGCCCTAGTGGCAAACTTAACCAGTGCACTTCATTAGGATGTTTATGAGAGGAGCTGCTATAGTGCTAAAGTGTCTAAAAAATCTCATATACAATATAACCATCAATAAACAATTTTGGAATTGGCTAATTAATGATGGTTCTTATCATGATAGAATCATCTCAAAGTCCAAAACTCGCCACTACGAAATCTAAAAATGTGCATTTTTAACATAGAAATAGATACTTCTTTTAATTCAAATATAATTTCTCTTTGTTAAGCTTATACAAGACTAATCTAAGGTGATTGAAGCATTAGTCTCTATTTAGACTAATATGAGGATCTCATACAAAATACTAAAAATATGCTAATAAATGATTTAATAGTGTGTTCAAAAACATCATGAATGTGCTTAAAGCATTAGATTATCGAAAAGGCATTACAAGCCAATAAGATTAAGTATTAGGTTGTGTGATATTAAGATCAAATAGTGACAATTCTAGGCAAGTTGAAATATGAGCTTGGATGTAAGCTAGGCAGAGAGGTCAAGCCACAAAAAAATATATATGTTATAATTTCTCTATATATCTAGAATCATTTCCTTATATTTTCTTTTCTTTTTTACTTGCCTAGAATAAATCATTGTATTAAACTTTTAATTTGGTGATTATTACAATAATTGTTAATATGATATTGTATAGAGTTATTCAATGTATATTATGCTTAAAGTTCTTAAATATCACTCTTAGCATTATCATCTACAGTCACCATGCTATTATATTTAGTTTGGACATTTCCATAACAAAAGATTTTCATTAATTAATTGAAAAGTTTTGTATAGTTGAGTTAATCCATTCATATTGAACTTTGTAGTGATAAACTCATCCACTTAGTCGATCAATTCATATCCTCTTTGGTGTGCCATTAGACTCACATCACATAATGAAATATTTTTAAAGTTTTGGTTGCTGGTTTATTAGTCTTGGAAGATACTTAAGAAGTGGAGGAAGAGATTTGAAGAATTTAGAAAACTTGTTTAAGAGGAGTAAAAGTTAATGTAAGAAAAAAAATGAAGATGACTACCTATGATGGGCAAATTACTTGAATCCATCATAAATGAAGAGCACTTCTACATCAAGATATTTTATTTATCAATAAAAAATGATAAAATATTTCAACTCATGTTTATAGGCATTACAAGTCTCTTAGGCAACCACTTTTTAAGAGAAAAGGTGGAAGAAAATGGGAGGAAAAAGGGGGTAGGTTGCCATTTATGAGGAAGTGCTCCAAGTACATTTTCAATGCTTTATCCAAGTTGAACCATATCATGGCTAACCATACAATCTTCTAAGTGAAAAATAAAAATGTGAATCATATTTAAAATATTCTAAATTATGGGCTCTTTGTTGGGCTAATGTAATTTGAATTTTTCTTTGGCTTTGATTTGAACTCTTTTAATTCGTCTTTTAGCTTGATTATCTTCATCAAATCATTATGTGCTACATCACTTATTATAAAACTTACATAAGATGGTATGGTGTATTCTTTTTCTTGTCTAGGCTTATAAATGACTAATTGATCTCCTTCTTGTGCTTATTTTTCTTAGGCTTCTGCATTTTATTTTGCTTCCATTTAAATTATGAGGGGATTGTGTGATGTTGGATAATTGCAAAATGTTCTATAGTTATGACTCATAATCACCTTCTATGACTTTATAAACCCCTTTGGAGTTGTAATATTATGCACTAGAAATTGCTTCCTTTTACAAAAAAGAATACTTTGGCTACTTTAAAAGTATCATATTTCTGCTACTTATGTAGCATATATTTAAAGGGACCACGCCACAAAACACTATGTTATGTATTAATTAAAATTCTAATATCCTTTTTTAATCTAAATGCAATATATAACTTTGGGTGGGATCGAATAGTTAATATTTCCTTTATCATCTAAGTAGTAAATATCATGTTCCTATAATGACAATGATCACTAATAGCTTTAACAACACATTATCTTGCTAGAATATCAATACTAAATAATTCTTCCCTCAAAATTTCACCTTATGTTGTAATCAATGATAAAACATTTTCTTTTTTCATATTAACCAGCATGATTGCATAATCTCTTTTTATAATAATAAGTATGTTTTTGACCTCCTATTCATTAAGCCTTTTTTATTGCTATTTAAATATTTTATTGACCTCTTTTCTAGAATATGATAATTTATAGCCTACTATGAAGCCTTATAGGTTAGTCTCAAATCAAATTATTGTTTAAAGCCCTATGAACTATAGCTGGCTAAAGGAACCTTTCATGCATCCTTTTACCCATATGTGGCCTTAGAATCCATTTACATTAGCTTTCCATAGATGATACTAGGGACTTTTTATTTCTTTTTGTGACTCATAGGTGGCACTAGGACCCATTAATATTAGTCATAGATGATCCACAAGTGGAAGTATGACCCATTTATGTCAGCATGGAACTCTTAAGTGCAATGTGAACTTATTTAGACCAATTTATGACCCATGAGGCATACAACATCATTCTATGACCCACTCAACACCAATAACCTAAACTTGGAGCTAATTTACTTGGACATCATGCTTTGATTAAGGCTTCGTTTGGGGCGACTTTCTTGTTGCTTCTTAAAGCACCTTTCTAGTATAAAAATTTTGATTTTTGTACTAAAAAACTGCTTTAAAAAGCAATAAAAAAGTCATCTCAAACGAAGCCTAAATGAGCACATAAAAGACTTTATCGGGATTTAGGCTATTTATATAGCTTAATTAACCTTGAATGAACCATTTGCCTTGATGAATCAATTGGGTCAACTCAAACCACCTTAGACCAATACTGGCCACATGATCAAACTAGTTCAACCAACCCCAAACCTAATAAATCATGATCTTAGATGAATGCAAATTAAATCCAAAAACCATGCTGCTAAGAAAGCTTACTCCAAGACGGCCCATAAGACCAATTGCAGGCCCAATTTGTTGCTTGATAAGCTTCCCTCTCCTAATAAAAATAATCAGGTCCAATAAACAATTGAATCATATCAAAGACACATTTATAGACCTAGTTTGACCCGAAGCATGCTTTATTAAACCAGCTTAAAAGTTCACCTAAGCTTACCGTCGGTGAACTTATCGGCATCCCCGTCTCGTCTTTCTCGTCGGAACCCTTTTTTAAGCGAGCGCGACGTTGCTTTCAGAGCGCGGCCGCTTCCGGTAAAAACGCCGAGACTAACGAAAACAGAGAGAAACCATTGCAGCTTTATATATTACTCACCATCAACTCTTTCTGCTCTCTTTTTCTCCGCCTCACAAAGCTGCGTTTGCTTCCAAAACCCCTTTTGAGCTGAGGCAGTATCCAGTTTCCGGAAATCAGTGCTTAGCCTGCCTCGTCGCCGGGAAATTTGGTTCCAATTTGGAAGTGGATTGAGCAATTTTCGAAGTGGAATTGGGGGGTGGTTTCGATTTCGCGGATCTGATTATATTCGTACTAGCGGCGATCTATGGAGCCGGCGCGGTGCTCCGGCGCGGGATCTGGGAACTCTGGAACTTACGCGACGGAGATAACAGAAACACTTCGCTTGGAGGAGATCGAGAGTCTGATGGATGTCAACGTCATCCACCAAGGATTTGAGGGCTCGTCGCCAGAGAACGCCGGCGGAAGCTCCTTCACCGCTCTCCTTGGCCTCCATCCGATCCAAGCAGTGGAGCTCCTTCACGAGCTAGATCCTAGTTCTTCTGGTGGTTTCCGGCTCGGCGATCCGAAGGCAATCCACTTTCCGTTAAGCTGCTCGCCGACCTTTCCCTCCAACGCTGCCCTAATCGAGCGCGCCACCAGATTCTCTGTCTTCGCCGCCGCTGAGGAATCTCCAGAGGGCAGCTCCGCCTTTCCCTCCAACTCCGATGGCGATCACTCGACAAACCCTAAATCCGACCCACCGGACTCCGATTTGAAGCCGCAGCGCTTGTCAAAGAGAAAAGAAACCGACAAATCCTCAAAGGTAATTTTCATATTTGGCTTTCTTCTACCGTTAATAGCCTTTCGTTTCCGATCACGAGCGTCCTTCTTTCTTCCAGGCCAAAACTCCGTCGAAGAAAGGCAAATCAACTGCCGGAGACGACGGCGAAGGTTCCCCGGCGAACCCCGACGGCGAGAAGCTACCATATGTTCACGTCAGAGCTCGACGAGGCCAAGCCACCGATAGCCACAGCTTAGCCGAGCGAGTTAGCCTCTAATGACAACACAAAGTCTTCTTAATTGCCGATTAATCCAAAATTTTAAACTATTTTATTTTCTAAATATGTCTTTTTTCAGGCGAGGAGGGAAAAAATAAATGCTCGGATGAAGCTGCTCCAAGAGCTGGTCCCTGGATGCAGCAAGGTTAGTTTTGTAATTTAATTTTTATCTAAAAAATGTGGGTATCTGGGGGGGTATTTGTATAAATGAGCTACATTTTTTATGCAGCGGTTGTAATGGGGGTTATAACTGTAAACCGCAATTTATTCCAAGAAAGGATATATGAGAATATGAACCCGGGGCAAGGGGATATCGGTGAAGGAAAAAAGTGGGCCTTGATTTTCCTGTAATATACTGAAAAGTCTTTCTCCCGTGCAGATCTCTGGTACGGCGTTGGTGCTTGATGAAATTATCAACCACGTACAGTTGCTGCAACGGCAGGTTGAGGTACGATTTCTGATATCTATCTCTCCGTTCTTTTTTTTCTAATGTTTTTTCAGGCAATCCAAAATTTTAGTGTGTAAATTTTAGAAAATTTACAGTAATGACCTTACTGTTAGTACGCCGGGGTTGGTTTTGTCATTTAATGATTTTTTCTGGAACTGGCTTTTCCGCAGATCTTGTCGATGCGACTTGCTGCGGTTAACCCAAGAATCGATTTTACGGGGCTCGACAACCTTTTATCTGCAGAGGTAAAAAGATCAAAAGACCCCGTCTATTGTTCAATTGAATTTTGCGCCGTAGCTGTAATATATTTACATTGGAGCCCTTTCTTTCTTTCTACGAACTAAATTGAAATGTGAAGTTGGCGGAATTTGCAAATATGAAAAATGAAGCGTGGAACTTTGACCACCTACTACGAATTACACCCCAAACCACCACCTCTCAAAAAGTAAATTTTCTTTCAGGATAGAGAAAAATTATTCTGTGAGAATACATTTGGGCGAATTAGAATGTATCACGTCAATCTTTTGTTGTGTACTGTGCATCATGTTCTGATTCATCTTTGAATGATCTGTCCTCATAGAATTTCTCTCGGTTAGAAGATTAAGGATAAATTTGTAATTTAATTTAATTTGATTAAAAACTTAGTCAATATCTTCGGCATAAATAGTACAATACTTCAGCTTTCTACTCTTGCAGTGTTCTTCTTATAAACCATTGATTTTATGATTTTAAAGGACAGAGATTTGAAATGTTTGTGATCTTTGACATCATGATCAGCTGTGGTATAAATGTCTGTTATTATCTTGCAAGATAATTTCTTAATTTTAAAATATATTTGAGACTTTTATATAGTTATTGACTGTATATTAATTATGTGCATACAGTTTTGATATAGGCAGTCCAAATTTTCTTTCTATTTTTTATATACTTAATGAATGTTGTGATGTTAAATTTGAAAATTTTGTGGAAGGATAGATTAAAAGGAAAATTAGGAGTAAAATAATCATTCTTCATTTGTTTATTCAGTATTTGAAGTGATTTTTTCTGCAAACCAAAATAAATCTTAGTTATTAGCCTTTTCTCACTTACAGAATAAGATAATATATATTAAGGCACTCTTCACCTTCCAATAAGAAAGTAAAATTTTTAAAGGTTTAGTACATTACATATATGACCTTCACTCAAAATCAAAATCAAAATCCTTTTAACTTTTTTAAAATATTTTTCTAAGTCTTGTTTCCGCCGAATTAGGGTCCGTTAGCATAAAAGCAGAGACCAAGGTAATTTTTTGCAAGAGCAAACCGATTGATGAAATAGTAATAATAATCATATATGAATGCTATGGTGGTCAAACTAGATGTCAATTATCTAATGTAAGTTTGGATTGCGACTTAAAAATAAGTTTTTTTATAAATCTTTCAGAAAAGTAAAAAAAAAAAAAAACAAAGAAAGCACATTTGCTGCACAGGAAATATGCAAAGAGATGATGCGGAGAAGACCAGCTTTCCGCACATCCCAAGAATGGAATGGCTGAAAACGTACAACACTCTAAAAAAAGATGAAAGAAATAAAATAATCTTCAAGCATCCCACTTCCAACGCAGATGATTAATAAATCATTATATTATTATTATTTTATTTCCTTATCAACGCATGCAGTGTGGGCGGGTCACCGCATCGGGCCACGGGCCAGGTTGGGTTGACGGAAGCTGTAACGGCGTCATTCGACGGAGTCATCACTACGATAATCAACAGCAGATTTGGCATGTTGATCTGCAGCAGCAGGAGACGGCGGGGTGGGAAAGGGACGAGACGCAGCAACTCCTCCACCACCACCACCACGTCTTTATCAGCGGCAGTAGTAGCGGTAGCCCCCCGGGGACCTCTCTTTTCGGTTACGATTCCGCCGCTTCTGGTAAATCTGCTCCCATTTTTTCTCAATTTTTTATTTTTCCTCATTTAAACCTTCTTTCTAGTCATCCGTAATTCTATTGCATGCCTATAACATGAAATTCTTTGATATAATATGTATATACAATATGTTAGTGTTTAAATTATATCAAAATATGAGAATAAGAAGGTTTATTTCATTTTTGATAAGATAACATTAATGCTGTTTTCTATTTGATTTAGAAACTTAAATAGGGAATTTACATTCATGGTACATATCACTTTATTTTATGTCATTTACATATATAACATCTAAAACATTAATATTACACTCCTACAACTCATAAATAACTTTAATATCAAATATACTACTTCTATATTTTATTCCTACCACTCATACCACCTTGTAAACTTTAATATTTCATTTCATGTACCCATATTTGTTCTATGGATGTTAGTATGTAATATTAATATTTTAGATGTTATATATGTAAATAGCATGAAATAAAATGGTATGTGTGTAAATTTTTCATTTAAAATTATAAGAGTAAATATAAAATTTTAAGTGTTAAGTAAATATATTTGTAAAACTCCCCTTATAGATATAAGACATGCAGTTTTTTTTTTATGTTTTGTAAATTTTACCGTTACATAGCATGCCACGTGGCGTGTGGTGAATTATGAATTTGTTTGGGGTCCAGTAGGGGAACATATGGTGACTGAGAACAGCTGTTCGGGTGGGATTTTGGAGAGGAATTTTGATATTTTTAGGTTGTGAGTTATTGGGTGCGGACCAGCTCATTGCGTAGGAAAACGGGATTATGGACCCGGGCGGGTACACTGGGTGCATTATTTGGTATCGCTTAATAAGGATATGCTGTTTCGAGGTAACTGTGAAAAGAGATTGTAAAACTCAACTGCAGTTTTAATCTGTAGTAAATTTTCAGTTTTTATTTGTTTAGGTCGTTTAGTTTTATTGGTTTCAAGATTCAATTTTGGATGTGGTTTCTGTTAATTTTGTATCATAAAATATATTTGAGAGATAATATAGAATCAGATTTCAGTATAGTCTTCTATTAAACTTTAGACAACTATTCTAGAGAAAATATGAAAAAGTTTGGATTACTAGAAACCAATCAAGTCAAATCAAAAACATCTAAATCCATGGTTTTAATGGATAAAAAACATACTAGTTTTGTGTTAATTGTAACTTAAGTGGGGGAGAGAGACTAGAGAGTGAGAATACTAGAGAAAGAGAATGTGCGTACCCAGTTTATTATGACATCTACAACAAATAACATTAAGCCTTTTACCCACTATGTGGGGTCAGCTACATGAATCATTTTTTTTTAATTTTGTCATATTAAAAGTTAAATTCTTGATTAAATCTAATAAAAAAAAGATCATTTCTAAAATTTTTAATCAAGTTTTTTTAGGACTATTTCTACTTTCTTAATGTAAGTCAAATTTAATATTTCTATTTTTCTAACCGGGTCATCAGAATGCCGACGTTTTATGTGATCAAACCAGTTTATTATGACATCTCTTTAATCAAAATTTAATAGAGATTAATCAAACTTAAATTTCTATTTGAAATTTTGATTCATTTATTGTCTTGATTATGCTAATTAATCATATGATCTTGGGTCATGTATGGAGCAAGTTTAGTTTTTTCATGGATGGACCTTTTTGGAGTTTGTTCACAAACAATGTGGAATCAGGAACGCTGGGGATGGTTCTCACCCTCACTAGATTTGGAATAATTCTATTTAGTCATATCCTTAAGTTTTATCTTAAAATCTTTTGCACTCATATATATATATATATATATAAAATTTACCTCTTTTTCCTAAATTTTGACTAAGACTTAGTTTGGGACTTCTTTATTACTGTTTCTTAAAATAATTTTTTAGTACAACAAAATTTAAAAAGCTTCTTTAAGAAGCAATAAGGAATATCTCATCCCTCTCCCTCTCGCTTGAAATCCTCATTCCGGCACTGATCATGAGTATTGTCCGAGCAAGTACTTTGTCCGTTCAATTCTCTTAAATGGTCCGGATAACTTTTGACCTTTTTAATTTCCTCATCTTCTCTTCCTGCTTTCTTCTCCTTCTCAAATCTCCTTTCATTCTTACTTCATCCCTGTAGTTGAGTTTGAAAATCTTAGTAATACTATATCTACCCTTTCTCTTTCTCCAACCCTTTTTTTTTTTATCTTGATTTTGACCTTATAAGTTTGGAGCAATCACCAAAACAAAGTTTCCGAAATTCATTTAGTACAGCAAACGTCACATTTGTTGGGGGCGAATAGCAATATGATTTGGTACAGTAAACATCGCATTTGTTGGGCGCATATTATTAATTAGGAAATACTTCAATGTCAATTTTGAACTGAACTAAAAAAAAAAAAAACCCATTGCATGAATGACACATAACATGTGCATACCTCGTGTCATCTATACAATAGCTATTTTAGGCATTCGTAGCATCTTATTAAATACAAGGGCTCAAAGCATCCGTGTGGGGTCCTGCTTCTGCCCCTATCTGCCAGGATTGGCTTGTGGGGCTACGGTCCCCTACTTTTGTTTCACGCTAGCTGGCCTGGCCGGCCTGCATTTGCTATTACTGATAGTATTGTAGCTTGATAGCAAAGCTCATCTGCAGAGTAGTCTTCTAGATTGACCTGCAAGGCCTTTGTTTAACTTTTACAAGATTAGTTATTTTCTACTTTCTTTGTTAACTAAGTTTGATCTTTACCTGCTTGAATCTGCTCCTTTTTTCTTAGCTTCTCAGAAGAAAACTGATCAAAGATGTCTTATTTTGATTTAAATGGTTGTATTTATGACTTGCATGCTGGTCAATTTGAACTACTAACATCCATGGGCATTCTTTTAACTTGTTAGAATATTTATGACAGCAGAGAGGTAATTTATCATCTTGAAATATAGGAGGAAAAGCCATCGGGTCGGCTTTATGGTGCCGAATGTTGGCCATTAAAAGAGAAGCATAATACTAAGTTAAGTGTTGCAAAATGAGGATGCATGCTTAGGTGGATGAGTGGCTTTACCCTTAGAGATAGGATATGAAATGAGCATATACGTGAAAAGGTTGTAGTAGCTCCAATGGAAGATAAGATTAGAGAGAGTCGCCTTAGATGGTTTGGTCACATAAAACGGCGACCTTCCAATGACCCGGTTAGGAGAGTAGAGGTATTAGATTTGACTTATGTTAAGAAAGGTAGAGGCAGACCTAAAAAGACTTGTTTAGAAAATATTAGAAATGATCTTTCTGTATTATATTTAATAATTTTTAACAGGACATAATGGCGAAAAAGAATTCATGTAGCCGACCCCACCTAGCGGGACAAAGGCTTGATATTGTTGTTGTTGTATCGTAAGTTATAAATGATATCTTCCCTCATAAATGGGGAGGCCATTAATTCCCTTTTTTGCATCTACAACTGTGACAGTGATCCATTGCAACTTATACTAGCTCTTATTTTTTCTTGTGCAGCATTGCCACTCTCGACCCAATTGAAGTCAGAGATGTGATGTGATGAAGAATATGGGAGGAATATATAGTTATATAGTTATATATATAGTTATGTCTGTAGAATGAATGCTAATGTTATGTACAGAATGAAGAGGATATGATCGAGTAGGTAAGAGGGTGGAGGAGCATAGAGCTAGCTAGAGCGCTCCCTCTGCATTCTTTTAGGGTCACCAGTTCTCTGCTTTTTCATTGCAGTCTCTCTTGAAACCCTAATTATACTAATCATGAATACTACATCTTCATCTAGCTTACGTGCTTCCAGACTTAAATCATGTATGCTTCCTATCATTTTTTTTTTCTTAGATATTAGATATTTAATATTTTATGAATTGAAAGAAAAAGTTGCCTTAGGGCAATCATGCAAAAGAAACTCAGTGGGACTTTGTTTGGCAAGGGTTTTTATTGTTTTTTTTTTCAATAATTTTTTTTTGTAATAGAAAGTTAATGTTGTAGAAAGTAATAAGAAAATTATCTCAAACGAAACTTAGAATGGGGTTCATATATTTTTTTTAGAGGATTTATAATATTTTAATTTCACATTTATATTAAAAAAAGGTTGTATTTTATAAACAAATATAAAAATTTAAATTTTAGATGTATAAATAAAAAAAAGATAAATAATACTTGATATGGATGTAAATGACCCATTTGGTTTTGGTTGATTAGCGTTTAAAAGTTCTAAATTTAGGAGAAATTATTCTGTGCGATAATAGGATATTGTCCGGAGGCAAATTAAGATGCTCCATGTCATTTTTTGTTGTGTATTAGTGTTCTGTACCGCTGTATATTACGTGATGTAGTGCATCCTGATTCACCCTGAACGATCTGATAAATGCACAAAATAATTTCCCCCAAAATTCAGGTTGCATTTTTTGAAATAAAAACCATCATATTTACTTGAGGAATTTTGAGGATGGCCATTTTCTACTTGGCTTTGTTTCTTGGTGTTCTTCTCATGCCTCTTTGAAGCAAATATGATCATCAAGAAACCAATGTCCTACCTTTGAAAGCAACTATTGTCTTTCCTCGGTGTAATATACATCAATGCTTAGCCTCCAATTTCTTCTGCGCTCACACATGTTAATATACTTCAACTACTTAGCCTTAGCCTCCATCACTTTCAAAGAAGAAACTATTCTGTGTGGAGGTCAGACACAACTCTATGTCCAGAGACCAATCAGAATGCACCACATCAGCGGTACCGAGCGGGTTGATGTGGTGCATTCTGATTGGTCTTCAGATAACGTTCAACGTCGGCACAGAATAAAAGGGGAATGATTGAGCTCACGACTCGTGCTCAAACATCTATCAACTAACACTATATATTCATGCCCATCATTGTCTTTTGTTCGTTAATTAATATCGACCATCTGAGGTCTAATACCCTTTCATCAGCACAGAACATTCAGTGGCAAACACCATTAACTTCTCAATCAAATAATATCTATCTCTGTCATACGTTGCCCTTCATCATTTCCTATTGCTATCTCAATGGGCCATCTCCTTGGATTGTGAGTGCCATCTTTTTATTAAAGACATTAAAATTAATACAATTATTTTATTAAAATCATTAACATCTTTTAATTCATATTTTAAAAAATAAATATTGTTATCATTTAGGCCTTGTTTGAGATGACTTTTTGTTGCTTTTTAAAGCAGTTTTTTAGTAAAAAAAATTAAAAATTTTATACTAAAAAGTTGCCTTAAGAAGCAACAAAAAAGTCGTCTCAAATAAAGTCTTAGGCTTCGTTTGGGACGGCTTTTTTAGTGCTTCTTAAAACAGAGTTCTAATTCTTAAAACAGAGTTCTAATACAAAAATTCAAAATTTTGAACTAGAACTCCGTTTTAAAAAGCAGTAAAAAAGCCGTCCCAAACGAAGCCTTAATCATACTAAAAATAAAATGCATTGCATTATCCTTAATTAAATCAAACCAAATAGAATTTCCATAAGAATTTTAAGCAAGCAAAGATATATTCCCCCACACATTTGTTCCATATTTACTCAAAGTCATTAACATTAATCACAAAATAAAAAATATTACTTTAACATTTCAAAACTACCCACCGAGGCTTAGGGTTGTTGTTGGGCGAGCACGGTTGGGAACCCCCCATCTCGGATTTGAATCCCCTCTACTACGTCCTCGCCTCTTCAGTGAGGCAAAGCAAGTGTAGGCCCAATGCCGGTGGGTGGCCTTGCTAGATTCCATCAAAGGATTAATTATGCCGCCAATGCTTCCTTTGAAGTGACAACAGATAGATACTCCCATTAAAAAAAAAATCAAAATTAAAATTACAACAACAAAAAAAATCCTTAATTTATTATAATTTCATGGCCAAATACAGTGATGTACAGGAAAGCATAAAGAAAGCACTTTTATAGCGAGACATGACGGCCATGAATGATCTCAATCATTGAAAAGGCCTTCTTAGACATTGCGTAAAGCAATTGATGGAAAAGATAACAGTGCTATGGAAGAATTGGATTCTCCTATTCTTTTTTTTTTTTTAATATTTGCTTGCAGGTTGGTCATGGAAGTAATCATTTCTACAAGTGATGAAGAATCTCAATTATTTCAAATGCTTGCAAAGACAAAAAAAGAAGTAAATTGATTGAATGGGTAGGCAGTGATTTTGATTTCATTATAGAAGAATTAGATTGAATTTGAACTTAAGTAAAAATTAAAATTTTAATTGAAGTGAGAAACTTTTAAAATAGGTCGAGCTAGTTTGAGATTTGATAGTGAATAATTACGACTATAAAATTATCTTATAAGGTCGAAATTAGTAGGTTTGATTGTGCTTGAGATTAAATTGAATGACCGGAAGTTGATCTAAGATAGGGTTGGATCAAATCAAGAACCTCATAACAAAATTCAAGACATGACAAACTAGGAGCTATAATTAGAGACACTTGGGATGCCCAAATAGCTATTTATATATTAGGCTGTATATTTTTAAATGATTATCTTATCAAACTTGCAATAAAATTGATCAATGATTAGAAATTGAGGTTATTATTCCACAAACAATGGTGAATTCATCATTAGAGAACAGACCATAATGAGAACTTGTGATATCATAACAAATGATACCACTATGATATGATTGGTATGGCATAAGGATATAGATTTCAAAGCCGTCATTATTAATAAATAATAAGGGTGCAAATTTTCAAGTAATTATGCACATGAAGAAGAAAATTATCATTATTATAAGATCTTTGTAAGGCAAGAAAAGCCTTTTAAATGTTTTACAAATGCTTGGGTTGTACCAACTGAGTGATATTAATATTGTCATCAAGATGGAAACAAGAATCCATATGTGAATTTAATATATGGCCAAGCCTTCGATGAAGTACAAACAAGTTTAGCGTTCTCTTTTTACCTCCCTACAAAAGATGTGCCTCCCACACCTCTTAAAAGGGCACTCGCATACAAAGATGACATGGACATTTTGACCAAAACTCCACTTTTATCTCTCATCCTATATAGGTGGTGTCACACCCCATGATACACATAACAACGCAATGTGTACTAGAAAATATTAACCATAAACAATATACAACAACCAAAATTTCTTACCTCCTCCCGTCTTCCTCCTATTTCTCTTTTCTTCTTCATTTTACTCCACACAGTCACTGCTCCCTCAACACAATTGCTAACTCACAACAATTGTTCCCTCATGGCAATAGCTCTCTCACACAATGATTTTTCAAACAGTCAAAATCTAAAACTCAAACCAGATAAGTTTACCAAATGGGTTGACCCTAACACCCTAACCTAGAATTTTTGGGTCAAGCTCAGGCTAGGTTGTCCGGTCGTTCTAAATATTGACATGCCTACCTATTACCTTACCATCACCACATTCCATCCCTTTAATTTGAATCAAAACTAAAGTAGATCTACTTATTGGTTAGGAAAATAAATTGGTGACTTCTCTTTTTTTTTTTTTTGATTCCTTTCTTGAGTAAATCCCAACTCTCACTAGTTAATTGTTATCTTAGTTTTAATCACTTTTTGGCTTCTTTTTCATCTACAATCTCTCTCTCTCTCTCTCTCTCTCTCTCTTTAATTCCTTTCTTGAGTAAATCCCAACTCTCACTAGTTAATTGTTATCTTAGTTTTAATCACTTTTTGGCTTCTTTTTCATCTACAATTAAAAAAAAATTAACATTCTCTTCAAAAAGTTAGGGGGTTGATACTTCTTATGTTGCTCCTATTTTTAGGCACCAAGACTAAACCTTTATAAAGTTTAATTGAATTTAAATGTTTTCTTTCTAGTCATGAAAAAGGTCATTCATTTTAGGGTTCTTTAATTGTAAGTTGATTGAATATTTTACTTACTTTCAATAAGAGAATCATATAGTTCCCTTTTAGCATCCTATATCATCAAGTTATCTAATGATCCAAGCACCACATAAACCCAACATCAAAATTTTTACACCAAGGTTGAGACCACTCTTAGCTTACCACCATCCTCCAACATATTGGAAAATGTTTCTTTCATCCACATGACTATTTGATGGTACTTAATGGAGTATTAAGGTATCTTAATCATGATGAAGAAATTTAGCCATGGCTTCACTTCATAAAACCACTTAATGGAGTATTAAGGTATCTTACTCCCTCACCATCTTACCCCACTACCACCATCTTTCATCTCTTATCAATGATTTTCTACCTAAATCTAATATGATTGAATGATGGGATTTATAAATTAAATTATCAAAGAGGGTAAGAAAATCTAACAATGTTGGTCGACTACAGTTCTCTGACCATCGTTGCCCGAATATAATCCTTCAATCGTTGTTGCTTAACTACATCTGACATGAAGTCTTCTGATCATTATCTCTTGGCTACTCTGATGACTAATAAATTCATTACATAGCATCACTATTAATGCCAACACATGCCATCTTTATAAGATCAATGTAAGCCATTGACCACAATTTTACACTATGTCAAAATCAAGATTTATGCTAAACTTCTTTATCTCTGGTCTCCTTTTCTCAAAAGAATAAGTCCAAACAAATAAACAAACAATCTCTTAAAGTTAGCTCCCATATCATAGGGCTCTTCTAACTTCAACCACATAATATATTTTATAAATTATATGTTTATTACATTGAATTAATGACTCTCCTAAGAAAGGACAACATTTACAATGATGACAAACACTAGTGAAATCCATTTAACAGGGCTAAGCCCCGTGATTTTTTTTTTACTTTTTTGAGTCTTCCATGTAAAAAGTCTCGTGTCTCATACAATTATTACACTCCACTTTTATTTGTGTATTAGATTTTCATACAATTGCTCAATAAACAATCTATCTCTCTACCACCATAAATATTCTAACACATAATAAATATAAAAACTATGAATGAAATGAGCAATATATAAGCGATTACATATACATGTTGGTTGATGAAATTCACCCCTTACAATCTTGCTAGATATGCTAAAGTACTCACACATAAAATAAAAATTGATATTCATATTAAAGTAGCTTAATAATTACAATTTAGGCAATGTTCATGTGATAGATGTATTATACAAAACAGATATATAAGATAATTTTATACATTATTTTCTTCTATTCATGTAATTATTGTACAAAAAATATTTCAAATAGCTCAATTCTAAGGCCAAAAACAAGGGGTATCTCCTAGACAACATGATGACATAATTTTGGTGGATCAAAATTTTAAGCAACTTCAAATTTGATAAGTACTCATGATCAATAACTTATCAAAACCATTTCACACTCTTACATTATTTGATCAATTTGACTCAAATAAATAAAATTATATAATCAATCTAAACAAATATGATCGCATAATTCACACATGATTATCATTATTTTTAAAAGCACCAGTACTATTCATACAACATGAGAATTATGGAATATCATGTTGCGTACGCATATCACCTATATCTTTGCTTTCATTTTCAAGCAAAATTCACTGACATAATAGAGTTAACTAAGCTAAAATTATGTCTGTGACCGCACAAATGTTGAGAACTCCGAATAGACTATTTCTTTAGCTCAGATCTAATCAGTAATTTTCTACAACAAATCGCAGAAAAAAAAAGCAGTACAATTTTCTTTCATGGGCTTCATCTTCTTTACCACAATTATTATCACAAACATCAATTATGCAGCTCACCTTGGTTTATTGCTTGGGAACTTTGATTACCAACCTAAAGGTCTTGAGTTCGAATCTCACATATATGATGCATGTATAAATTTATCTTAATGACCTAAATATCCTAAAGAAAACAAAGCATCAATTTGCAATTATGATCATCTTTCCAAACAGAATTGACGATGATATAACTCAAACAAGTAAGTGACAACTCAATATGGTATAGATCAATCATCATAGATAGAATATGATAAGAAAAATGGGGACAAATAAATAAATAAAAAAGATATAATATAATAAAGGTTTATTTTAATGAATAACATGTCTTGCAAATGTCACAGTAAATCAAATTGTATTGCATAATAAGTTCTCAACATGATGAGCATGAAATAAAATAGCACCCAAAAAAAAAAAAAACTACAGCAAACAGAATTGAACCGATCGAATCTTGAATCAAATTGATATTCTTGGGTTTGTCAGTGTGCTAGGAAACCAACTGGTTGGTAAACTGTCCTTTAAAGTCCACCTCTTAATTTGAAAAGCCACCAAAAGCTTGATTTTATGCATCAAGGCCAGTGGGGTCAAACTTTGTATATGTTAGTTCTCTTCACCGAAATAATATAAACCAAAATGGCAACAATAAAAAGGTAAAGCCTCAATAAATGATATTTGCAAATACTGCAAGCTTCCAAAGCTTGAAATAATGATGTTTCAAAAAGAAACTTCACAACAAAATTTTTATGGCCGCGATTAAAAAACCCAATCACAATAAATTTTGACTTCGTTTGGAATAGCTTTTTTTTTGCTTCTTAAAGTAACTTTTTAGAATAATTTTTTTAAAATTTTGTATTAAAAGCTGTTTTAAGAATCAATAAGAAGCTATCCCAAAAGAATCCTAAAGCAAAATAAAAAATCTAACAATACCAATAATAAACATTTAGAAGAAAATGGATCAAGGAAAAAGTCACTGGAGTGAAATAAAATGAATTCTCTCAGTGATATAAAGATATATTTTCTCTTGAAAGTTTTCCACTAACATTGCACTACACTCAAAGGAATCTGGCATCAAGCAAGCACTCACAAAACTGAAAGTAGAAAGCAAAGAATTTATTGATATTAAGCTTTTTTAGCATGACTCTAAGCCTTCGTTTGGGACGGCTTTCTTACTGTTTTTTAAAGCAGCATTTTAGTACACAAATTAAAATTTTTGTACTAAGAAATTGCTTAAGAAACAATAAAAAATTCATCCCAAACAAAGCCTAAGTGTTGGCATTTATAAGCAAGTAGTTCCCCAGTAGGTTACCTCATTGACCAGATTAAAATTTCAAATTTGGGTCAATTCCACAATATCAAAAACAGAAGCAACTGCAAAAGTCACATGCAATTTGCCTCTCCAGTTCAAATATGGAATACAACAGCCAAAAGCCTTTCTTGAATCACAAAGGAGGCCCGCACAACACGGCCCTAAAAGCCCATAACAAGAACCGGAAAGCCTAATCACCAAAGATATCTCCAACCATAGTTTGAGGGTTAATTACAATACACTAAAGAAACACGAAACCACAGACCTGCATCAAATAGATCAATCTACAATCTCCTAAGCAAAATTATATGTAATCATCTTAGCTCTGTGATCTATCCACGTCAGAATAGTAGAGCCCAATCCCATTTTACATTTTTTTGCAAAAAGAAAAAAAAAACACTTAGATTGTGCCATAAACAAATTAATCAAGCAAGTAAGCCCAATTTGCTCTAGAAGATGTCAGATTGCCAGACTCCTTTGTTTGAAAGGGAAAGGTTTTAGGCAAGGTCCAAAAGTGGTATCGAATGCTGTTTTCTCCCATTGGATGCATTAAATCATCATTATTATATGAGATATTCATACATTCAGTAGTTCTGCCCTAAGGTCTCGTTTGGGATGGCTTTCTTATTGCTTCTTAAAACAGCTTTTCAATATAAAAATTTAGAATTCTTATATTAAAAAGTTGTTTTAAAAAGCAGTAAGAAAGCCGTCCCAAACGAAGCCCAAGTCTCATTGACATAAGCCACTTCTTTGTGATTAATGAACGGTCAAAAACATATGAAAATACAAAAGCATACTTAAGATAAAATCAAGAAATGCATGATCCAGATAGTACCTTAATTTGAAGCTTTACAAATCTGAATCAAATCCAATGTTCCAGAAACCCTCTGGTGTCAATGGTGGAGCGTACCTGTAACGATGCCGAGAAACACCATCATGATGTTCACAACGCAAAGTATTAGCAGCCTTACCTCCATCAGGAAGAACTGCGTCATAGAACTTCTTGCATTGCTGGCACTCAACTCCTTTGAGGTTATCCCTCTCAATTTTCCTCCTGACGGGCTCCACATATTTAAAACTTTTGTTTGATGGCCCAACAATTGATATTGGGTGTTTCTTGGATATAGTTTCAGAGGCTAGGTCGAGAGTTTCCTCATCAGAGCAATCTTCATCCATGGCTTTATCATCAGAAATGAGATTGCTGTTTAGGTCTTGGGGATCCACATTCAAATTTCGTACATTTTCCATGGGAGTATTGAGAAAATCATCATGTGGATCTCCATCTCTGAGTTCTTGACGTGCCCTAGTATCTCTCCAACGTGAAGCAGCTAGCTTAAAGCTGCTTGAAGGTTCTTTTTTTACATTCGAAAGAGGCTTTGCTGGGATAAAACCTTGTTTCATTGATATAGTGGTGCAGGATCCAGAATCTGAACCTTTGTTTGGTTCAATGACCTGATCAACCACACACCCTTTTTGATGAGCTATATCGATCTTTGATTTACTTAGCTTGGAAACATGCCGGGCAGTCTCTTGAACGGTGTTCTTCATATCTGCAGTCAGCAAAGTATGAAATGATTATTACAAAACATAAATGCTCCAATGAAGTTTACCCGTTCTTAAAATTCATTTTTCAATAGCACTGAATTTAAAAAGCATTGCTTACAACATAACAAGAAAAATGAACAATGGTTTTGTATGATAAGAACTTGAATATTCAAAATCTACATTTTATGGATGCAAAGGTTATTTGCCATATACTTATATTATGGAGTAGAAATACTATTTCATAAGAAATCAGGACAAAAAAAAGCATGGGCTTAAGAAATCTTACCTTCATTGCCTCTCTTATTTAGGCAACCAGTTGATGGTCCATTTTCATCTCCCATAATGTCTGCATGAGGAATATTTTCCGCCCCATTGCCAAGCTTGCTTATGAGAAAATTATATTGAGACTTCAAATGTTTGTAATTTGTTTTAAGCTTAATGCACTCCTCAAACAAACTTTTCTTTTTGTTTAGCTCCACTTCAATTTTTTGATCTTTCAACTCAATCTGTTGCAGTAGATCTTCTTCATGTTCCTTCGCTTTAACAACTTCATTGACTTTTTGCACAAGCTGTTCCAAGAGCTGTTTCTTCTCAAGTTGACATCGGTTCAGCAACTGCTCCTTATTCATCAATCTTTCCTTACTTTCTTCTAAGGATGCAGTCAGTTGCTTAATTTTCTCTTGAGAATGCTGCCTTTCAGATTGGAGTTCTTGTATCTGCTGTAAGAGAGAATCTTCTTTTTTCCTCCACTCCAGATCTTCGGCTTTCTTGAAACCTATAATCCTTTTTTGTATAGATTGTGATAATGTTTGCAGATCAGGAAAGTGCTGACGACAAACAAACTCTATCTGTGAAACTCGCACCGTTAATTCCTCAACTGTATCGATAAGAAGCATGGTGAACTGACATAAATACTGAGAATCAACCTCAGTTTCAATCGAGCTTCTAAGCATCCTTGGGCTCTGCTGCTGATTTTCATCATCCATCATTTAGTTAAGATGACAACTAACAATAAGGCTGCACTGATTAATGAAGAAAACAATTATTAGTTTACAATAATCTTTAAGGTGTAGGTCCATTAAGTGCATGATAAGTGCAACAAAATAGCTAAGTTAACGTGAAATTATAAATAAAGTGCTATTAACAACGCAAGTGGAATTCAAATGTGACTTTTCGGTCACCTTCTTTCTCAAGAACATCAAGGTTCTGAGACATCATTGAGGACCAGCCTTTTTTTCTTCTTAACTGATGTTGAACAAGACCGAAGGATTAGAAAATTGAATCAAACCAGTTCATATTCTGACAACTTACAGTCTTACACAAGCACAATCTTCATAGATTTATAGCGGTTTGAAAAGTAAGGAAGCTGAGAATGTATAGTCATCAAGTTCTCTCAGGTCCAATTTTATAAAAATGTTACCTGGAATTTTTTCTGGAAGGTTGCATTACTATGTTAAATCAAGCATTGATTTATTTGCATTTACTGAACCCAAGGAATGCAAATGCGCCAGACCTCCAAGATTGCAAACAAATTCAACATAAAGAAGACATTTCTGCTGGTGCAGTGGACTAGAAACTTAAAGATAGATTACATTGTTTTGTCTCCAATGTATGCCTCCCGTATTAGACATGTGAAACTGCAACTTCAATAAATGGCTGCAGATTAATTTCGTAAGGAAACCAAAAATGTTTTACAGGACACGGCAAAAGAAATTAAATGTATAAAAAGCATATGTCAACCTAAGAGGCTGTTTGGTATCGGATTTATCGTCGGATTTAAGTCGGATTTAAGCTAAATCCACCCAAACGGTTCTATAGTGCGCATTAAATCCCGAGATTCAATAAATCCCAGATTTACGGATTTAATGCTTAAATCCCGAATTTACTAAATCCCTCAATTCGGTGGATTTAACGGGATTTAAAGAGTGTCGGAAGTAGGGCTGTCAATTCGGGTTGCCGGGTCGGGTTCGGGTCGAACCCGAACTGACCCGAAGTTAAACGGGTCGACCTGAACCCGACCTGTTTAGTTATACGGGTCCAATTGCTGAACCCGGACCCGACCCGGGTTAATCACGGGTCGGGTTGACCCGACCTGCCAACCCAAAATTTTTTGGGAAAAAAATGTTAAGCAGGAAATCGCAGAAAGAGCGAAGTCGAACTAGCCACGAAGTAGCCGGAGAAGTGCACGAAGGGTAGAAAGTTATCTTCACAGCCGGCGAAATCCCGTCGTTGCTTGCGCTCAAAATGTCGTAACTCTCGTTCCGTCTGGAAGGGAAAGCCGTCGAAGGAGCAGTCGAACAGCACGGAGGATTCGGAGAGGCAGCGACAGAGGGAATGAGAGAAGGTGAGTGATCGAGAGAGAATGAGCCCAGGAAAAAAAAAGGGTCGCAGCTTTCTCGTCTCTCCAATATTTAATCGCAGCAGAGAAGTGCTGGGCGACATCGTGCGAGACGTGGGAGGAGATCGTGGGTGTGGAGCTCGAGCGGCATGGCCGAGAGGTACGTGCGATCCTCTCTTTTTTTTTATTTCATTTCGGGTCAACACTTTCCTTTCTTCATTCGGCATCAATTTGGTATTAGAGACCTGTTCATTTCAATTCTTGTTTTGTGGAATCTATATCTTGCACTTTCATTCACCATTGTTTATTGAAGTTCACCACCATAAACAAGTACGTCACCTTTGTTCAATTTCTGCTATCCAAAACGTTTAAGAACACTGCCAACTTAATATATGCTTGATGGTATATTCTTATTTCTTCCTCTTAGGCTGTGTACCAAATTCCATGCCTTTCTATCTTAGGTTGTGCATCCAAATGATGGCAATGAAATATGGAAAGAAAAGAATGGATGTGAAATGTCCGGAATTATCTCTTCAGCAAAAGATATGATTCTTTCCAAAGAAATTAGTTTGTTGAATCTTGAGGAAGATTTTTCAGGATTCCTTTCTCCGTGATTGAGAAGTAATAGCTGAAGGTAGGCATCTCTCAGGGGTGTTACTGTTTGCCTTTTGGAGGGGAAGCAATAGTTGTCCAAATTGTGTCACCGTCCAGTTCTACGTCATGAAGGAAGGGAAATATATTATCAAGCTTATAACTTGTGGAAGGGACTCTTCTCTAGTTTGAAAGAAGTTCAAGTCACCCAATCCTGCTTAGGGCGCGGGTGCAAATGAGTAAAGTAAAATTTGAGCCAACCCAACTCATACATAATGCGACATTCTTGTTACGCATGCTATTACTGCTTTTATTGTTTTGATGAATGAAGTCATGCATAGTGTAGCATTATTGTTATCGTGTCCTATAACTAAGGGTGATAACAAGTCTAGTTCGAGCAAACTAACAAAAATTTGAAATCAAAGATTTTTACATCGACAAGAAAAATTGAGTAAACTCAATCATTTTTTTTATTTCGAGAAGAGTTTCAAGTTGATTCAAATAATTTTTTTAACTTACAAAAATATTATTAATTACCAATCATGATTATTATCCATATACAAATATTCTACAACAACATCAAGCCTTTATCCCATTACATGGGTTCGAATACATAAATCTTTTTTTCTCTATTGTGTCCTATTTCAAGTCAAATTATTATTAAAATCTTGAATGTCATTTCTAATATTTTCTAATCATGATATTAATGCTTTAATATATAATAAATTCTATTAAATATAAATACATAAATGTGTATATAAATGCATTTGTATATGTGATGCGTATGTGCATGTGTGTGTTTGTATGTATTTACATATACATACATATATGTATGTATTTATAAATACACACAAATAAGTGCATATATCATATATTGAATAGATATTATAAATTCCACAACGACGATAACATCAAGCCTTTATCCTACTATGTGGGATCAGCTATATAAATCCATTTTCTCTATTCTGTCGTGTTTAGAGTCAAATTCTCATTTAAATCTAATAAAGAAATGTCATTCCCAATATTTCAGCTATATAAATCCTTTTTTCTTCATTGTGTTATGTTTAAAGTCAAAGTCTCATTTAAATCTAATAAAGAAAGGTCATTTTTAATATTTTCAAATCATGGCTTGAATCATTTAATATATTATTGCTAAATCACAACCGTCCCTTGGCATTTTGATCTCACAACTAGGATGGGAATCCGTGGGAGGCTCACCTGGATCACACTGATATGCTTCCATATTTAGGTGAATGATTTAGGAAGGATTATATTAGAGCAATTATGCATGATTATGTAATTATTTGTTTGTTTATTAAGATATCTTGTATAGATCCATAAATAGGGACAAGTTTGTGCAATAAAACTAAGCCATTTCCTTTTCTAATTCTCTGAATTTAACATGGTATAAGAGTCTTCATTGCCGTTGCTAGAATTCTGAGTTTTTTGCACTGTCGTGCCTTCCTTGCCAACCTTCGCTTGTTTTTGTTATCTATCTATAACCAACGCAGCCTTCATTGCTGCCCTGCTTGACATAGCCTTCATCGCTACCTTTTGTCGCCGTAATGTCTTAAGTAAATTCCTCCCAAAATTTTGACCAAATGGAGGACTTTATGGTGCACTAAGAAAGAGGAGATCTCCAAAATATGCAACCTTCCTATCGTTTAAATTAGAATAATTATTTGAAGTGGTCTCAATTTGTGAAGACCTACTTGAAAGGGAAAGGAAAGATGAATCACCTCCTTGGGGTAGGACCAAAAGAAGAAGATTCTAATTTTTGGGTGTGGGGTGAAGCAGACTCCATGATCATGTCATGGTTGTGGAATTTCATAACTCCAGAAATGAGCGATGCTTTCATGTTCCTATCTACTACAAAAGAGATGGGATGTCACCAGACAAACCTTCTCAAAAGCTCGTGATGCTACACAAATATTCAAAATTGAAGTCAAGATAGGAAGCATAAAACAAGGAAGTAAGACCGTGACTAAATATGCCACTCTCGTTCAAAGCTTGTGGCAGAAAATTGATCACCACAGATGCATAGAGATCAAATATCCAGAAAACGCTACTATCCTAAAAAGCTTTATTGAGAAGATAGAGTGTATGACTTTCTTACAAGATTAAATGACCAAGTTAGAGTTCAAATCATTGGCAAAGAGTAGACACCCACAGTAAATGGGATCATTTAACTCATTCTGTGCTGAGGAAAGCCGATGCTGGAACCAAAGATTGCTTAAGGTTCAGGAATGGTGACATCCAAAGAGGCGTCATGGAAGAAGGAAAGAGATAAGGATTCCTCAAAAGTGCAAGACAAAGACTCCCTTTGGTGCAGCTATTATAAGAAATCAAGATACACAAAAAAGACATGCTGAAAGTTACATGGAAAGCCCCCAAGTAAAGAGTGGAATCAAAGTAAACAAAAGGGAACATCACAAGCTAACATAACAACAAGTCAACCTAACCCAGAAACATAGTCCAGTTTCAGAGAGCCCAATAAAGAAGATATTGATAAGCTAAAACAATTGTTGTTATTCATGTGATACAAACAGGAATAGCAAGGAATTGATAAAATATTGTAAAGCTTACCACTTTAAGGTGAATGTATCACAATAATTAACTTTAAGGATTTTCAATTGAAGTTTGATATGGCATGCAATTACAAGCTAGGAGAACAAACCAACAAAATAATATAAAAAATTACAGTAAAACTAGTTATGACGTAATAAGAATCCACGGTTCATATTTAGAACATTCACCTAGAGTTCCCTCTCACTCACGCTCTAAAAAAGGCTTTAACGGAGAGAAAATTTCAGCAATCCAAACGACACCACCAAAAGAGATAGGACATCAACGATCTTGATCCACGGGAAGGTAACTAGAGGAGACACGGGTGGATGTCCGACGAGTTACCACTATGCAGAGGGTCGTTGTTCATCGATAGTCTCGGCTAGGTGGAATAGTATACGGTCGATGGAGTCTTCTATCTCCCAGTCGGGGTCGAAGAATGGTGATTGAAGAATATCTATTTCCCTTGAGAATCGTAAGCGAAGCCATGGAGGTAGAGATAAACAACGAGCCTTGTACTCTTTCGAA